GACTGAGCCATCTGTGAGCTGAGACCAGAGTTCCCTGGTACCAGCCATCCCACGTCACTCCCAGTTGTCTCTCAAGCTTCTGAATTGGTGAGGAACACCCATGTGCTCTGTCAGCCGAGGAATTCAACTCGTGGCCGAGTCCTGTACTCTCCAGGCACCACCAGGCCCCAAGGCTCTGCTGTCTTGGGGCGGGGTTGTCTGGCCTGAGCACCAGGACCGGATTCACCTTGATGTCACCTGGCCCATCCCAAGGGTCTCTAAAAATAAAGACCTGTGCCAGTCATGCTTTTGACTCCGAAGCATCTTTAGCACATGCTGTCTGTCATCTTGTTTCTTTACTAACTGTGTTACTCTAACTGTGGGTGGCTATGTAGTGTTTAGGTTGGCACAGAATCCCACTGCGATTTTAATTTTTAAAATATATATTAAAATATATTCGGAGACGTAGACCATCCTATGGAAACTTCTCTTTACCCTGCAATTCTGTTTTCTAAAAAGTGTGTACTTTAATAACTTATTAGAACAAAGATAAACCCTGTGAATGGCAAGCCGTTTACATACCTCTGAATTGATTTTTGATCCTTGTCAAACATTCATTTTTACCAGTTGGGATCGGTAGAGGTGTTCCATTGAGTGTGCTGTTTTTCCATAGAACGTTCTTTTATACTATATAATAGCTTGATAACAGTAACTCAGATTTCAGTTGCATTTTGCAGTTTGCAAAGCTCTCTTTCTTTGCCTTAGCTCAGGCTTCCTATTATGTGGCCCTGTGTTGTATTGCCTGCAGCAGAGCTATAACAAGAAAGAACAAGGAAAAAATGGGTCCTGATCATGCCTTGACAGTTACAGACCGTGTGACTTTGGCCTCCTGGAACCCGTTTCCCGCAAGAAGGAGATCAGATGAGAGTTTGTGTGTGAAAGTGCTCAAAGCACAGTGCCTGACATGTAGAAGGTATTAACTCATGATTAAACCCTGAGAATCCCCCCTTTTTTTTCCACTATTATAAATAACAGTCACTTGTTTTCAAACTTCTGTTTTTTCCCATGATATTTCTGCGTGGCCCACAGTTGATTTTTCCTTCTGTGAGCCAATGACCCTATAGGAAAACAGTTTTATTATTTTACCTTGAAGGAAGTGTTATTTTTTTTTCTTTTTTTTGTTAACTTTTTCATATACTTTGATCGATTCATAAGGTTCCAGATCAAACAGAGTTCTCAGGCATTCTGAAATGATGGTTTCCAAAAATTCAGAGGTTATTGTTTTTCCTACCCCAAACTCAGAAAAGCTCAGTCCCTTTGGAGAACACAAATGTGAATATATAATGATCTCAGAGGAGAAAACAGACTCTTGAGGTATTTATTTGTTCATTCATTTACTCACTTGTTCATTCATATGAGTGTTCAGTAAACATCTGTTGAGTGTTGAGTATGTGGCAGGCACTGGTGGAAACACTGGCGGTTGGAAGAATTTTATGGAGAGGGTACATTTTGGGAGAAAAATCAAAAAGTCAAATTGATAATAGCACCTGTTTTATTTTAGTGGATTGCATCTGTTGTCAAAAAGAAAAATTGAAATGAATCTACTTAAGGTGAACTAAGTGGATTCATTTATGAAGGGAATGGAATGAAGCCAGAAGGGAAGACTGGGGAGCTTTGTTTTACTCTCTTCAGCCAAGAGAAGCCTAAAATGGCAGCAGACCAAACCACTTGGAGCAGATAGACTCTTGACCTGGCTCCCTCCTCACCCAGTGAGTTTCAAGGACTGGATAACCCTTGGGTTACTGCAAAATTTTGTGAATATATACATTTTCTGGGCTTCATGGCTGGCATCAGGCCTTCAAACTGGTGACCTCCCATAAAGGGGATGGTGACCTCTCATGTATCTAAGAACCACTGCCTTTCATTTTAAAAAAACTCCTTAGTTTACAGTAACCAAGGGAGTGACCCACAACCCATAGAATGCTCTAGAAACCAGTTTTTTGAACACTGTAAAAGTTTTTTGGGTTATGAATTAGTTTACTAATTAGTTATTAGCAATTAATATTCATCAATAAAACCTATGACTGCTTTTATGATTAATGACATCAGGTGTTCATAATAACCAATAGTATTAATACTGACTAATTATGTAATTGATTAGTAACAGAAAAATCTTTAAAAGACCTTTCAGTGCTGTTTGGTTATTAATAATAATTTAAAACTTCACAAATAACAATGACCGTGCAGTATATGATGAGGAATGGTTGGCCAGAAGCTTTACCCCCCTGGGTATAGACCTCCCTAGGCTACAGGTAGCTTCCCACATACACTGGTGTCTGGCTTAGGGTAATTGTCTGGAGGGTGATCAGTAAATACTGAGTGAATAAATGAGGGAACGTCATTGTGGCCCCTTTTCTTGCCCTTCCTGTGTGGAACCTAGACTACAGCAAAATGCTACAGAGCTTTTCTTACCTGAACTCAGAACCCAGAGTGTGGAATTCAGGTGACTTAGGTGGCGTGCATGGCCTCAGCCCCAGCCAGGGTGAATCGCTTCTGTTTCCCGTATACGGGCTCTGCCTCCACTTTGGTGGCTGCCAGGGCCATCTGAGGGCACCGTGATGAGACACTATGTCCCGAGGCTGCTGTGCCTGGGCGCCTGGGTCCACTGCGTGCGGTCCATGGCCTCTCCCTTGCCATCTCACCCTTCTAGTTCCGCACAACAGAAACCGAAGCAAAATGTAAACTAAGTGGATTATCATAAGGTCACAGGTCTAGTCCATGAAAGAGCAGACAATGCCGAAAAGAAATTAAACTGCAGCCTAATATAATTAAGGGTTTTGGTAGAAATTGAGTATGAAAACCCTGTGTGATGATTCTTTTAGAATGGCATCAGGTACATTGCCCAGGACATAGGGTTTAAAATCAAAGCTGCAAATGCCTTGAGTTAATAGTCTGGTGTTAGATTTATTTTCTTTGTCTCACACGTGCCTAACACAGTGTTGGGCATGATATCAAGACAAGGGCTTGTAGCTAGTGCTCCATAGGTCCTTGAAGGAAGAATGGAAGGGATTGATACCAAGGGTGCATGGCTTTTTAGTTCTTGCTCATTGCCGTCTGACTGTCGCCTGGGTGAAGACTGAGACCATCAGGCAGTGTTCTCCCCAGGCCTGGCTTGGAAGGCCAATAGGAGAGCTTCTGAGAGAGCCAGGGCGTTCTGTGTCCCTCTTGGGATTCTGTACATCTCCTCTGTCCCTGGTGTCATTCTTGTTCACCCACTGCAGTGCTATCATCTGAGAACTTGCACAGCTGTCTCAAATCCGGGGCCCTGTGGTGGGGCAGCCTCAGAAGGCCGTGTTGTGCTCTGCACAGATTGTGGGCTCTTGTTTAATTTTGCATCATTCAGCTGACACCTGAATGCCGGGTAAGGACTCTCTAGTCCCCTTCCATCAGGTCATCACTCAAGAATTCACAGTGAGCCAAACTGCAAAAAAATCTGAACTTTTCATCCAAGTGGTCAAGTTCTTTATCTCTTCCTCCTTGTGTTTTGTCCAGATTTGTTTTCTTATTCCAGTTTAATTTTTTATCATGAAATATTTTAGAAATACAGAAAGTATAGAAAAATAATATTATGAGTGCTCTAGTACCAACCAGTCAGCTTAAGAAGTTAAAAAAAAAATGGCCAGGCATGGTGGCTCACACTTGTGATCTCAGCAATTTGGGAACCCAAGGTGGGAGGATTGCTTGAACCCTGGTTTTGAGTTTAAGACCAGCCTGGGCAACATAGCAAGACCCCCATCTCTATTTAAAAAAAATTAAAAAACCAAAAAGCGACAGTGACAGTTGAAGCACCCTCTCAGCACTTTGTAAACAGTACCATGTGGAACAGATTTTGGGGCAGCAACAGCATCAGCCGAGCAAAGTGCTTCAGAGCAGGGCTTTGGAGTTGGGTCGACCCTTGTGGAATTCTGACTGTGGGCTTCCCCTGCTGGGCGATTTGGGAAAGCCCTGTAACCTCTCAGAACCTCAACTTGCTCATCCATACAGTGGGATGATAGGCTGTGTACCTGTGTATCTCCCAGAGTTGTTGTGAGAATTGAATGAGGGTAGCGGGTGAAGTGCTTAGCCCAGTGCCGGCTGCGTGGAGAGCCCTCAGCAAAGAGTAGTTGTGGTTACTGCTGCAGCTTTGGGCTGTCATCATCTTGGACTTTGACCTGCCCAGGGTGCAGACCACAGACATTGGCCCAGAGTGTAGACTGCAGACATGGGCCCCCCAGGGCACAGACCACAGAGGTGGTTCCAGGGTATAAACCATAGAGACGGGCCCAGGGTATAGACCACAGAGACAGGCTGAGGGTGTAGACCGCAGAGATGGGCCCAGGGTGCAGACCACAGAGGTGGGTCCCAGGGTGCAGACCACAGAGATGGGTCCAGGTTGCAGATCACAGAGGTCAGCTCCTCCAGGATGTACCACACAGATGGGCCTCCAGGTGTAGCCCATAGAGATGGGTCCCCCAGGGTGTAGACCACAGAGACAGGTCCAGGGTACAGATCATAGAGATGGGTCCCAGGGTGCAGACCACAGAGATGGGTCCTAGGGTATAGACTGCAGAGATGCGTCCTAGGGTGCAGACCGCAGAGATGGGTCCTAGGGTATAGACCACAGAGACAGGTCCAGGGTGCAGACCGCAGAGATGGGTCCAAGGGTGCAGACCACAGAGATGGGTCCTAGGGTACAGACCTCAGAGATGCGTCCCAGGGTGCAGACCACAGAGATGGGTCCTAGGGTATAGACCACAGAGACAGGTCCAGGGTTCAGATCACAGAGATGGGCCGATCACAGAGATGGGCCCCTCACAGTGTGGACCACAGAGATGGGTCCTAGGGTGGAGACCACAGAGACAGGTCCAGAGTGCAGGTTCTTTACCCACCCTTACTCCAGGGAAGACCTGGGCAGGATGGGGGAAAGTGCTCCTCCGTGGGGTTGCTGAGGGCCAGCTGACGGGGTACCTGGTGGGTTTCAGGTGCTTGTCCTGGCCGTGAAGCAGCTCTTCCCAGAGTTCGAGTTCATGTGGCTGGTGGATGAGGCCAAGAAGAACTTGCCCTTGGAGCTGGATTTCCTCAACGAGGGGAGGAATGCTGAGAAGGTGGCCCAGATGCTCAAGCGCTTTGACTTCCTGAAGGTAGGAGGGTGGGGCAGTGGAGACAAGGAGGTCTGGCGGAAGAGGGGGGATGGGTCCTGCCCAGAGCATCCCCTGTTTCGGGACATAACCGGGACATCTCCTTCCTGAGTCTTCTTACTGAGAATGAATGATTTGTCACTGGTGATGCAAATGAAAGCCCTTGAAGGCAATTTGCAAAGAAATGCCAAGGGGGACTGTTGACCTGTCAGTCAGTTAAACAGACGTTTACTGAACAGTTAACAATTTCAAGACACTGAGCACTATCCCAGGGCCTCTATGCTGTGGTCTCTGCTTCTGTGAAGCGTGGGGTGGTGATGACAATGATGATGATGATGATGATAGTGATAGCTAGCATGGCTGTACTCTGGCTGTTCCCACACATGTATGTTACATTTGCTCACTTACTCTATAGTTAGTCCTATAATACAACATGTGTTCCTAGAAATCACAGCATACAACATCAAACAACAGAAACCCAGTGCTTATGGGGAGAATGGGTTAGGAGTACAACAGACAAAAACCTCCTCAATAACACAAAAGGAAAGAAGATAAGAACTAACAAAAGCAGCGGTGTAGTTTTTACACACATGTTAAATGGCTGAGAAGTACTTAAAACCGCAAGGCATATGGTTCTTTGCCTTGAACCCACTTGGGAAAGCGGGCATCAGAAGGTGAGTTTTGTGTAGTGGGGGAAGGGGGGCCATCTGAAATGGGACGGAAAGCCGTAGCCCCGGAGGTGGGCAACTCACCCGCTCGTGATAATGCTGGAGGTGTGTGTGTTTTGTGTGTTCCTGGGTGACATGTTCCCCTGGATGCAGCTTCCTGTGCTTGCATTGTTTCTTGCAGATGGTAGATCACGTGAGAAAATACAAAATTTGCATCACGATCAAACTCTTCTCTAATATATCAATCATGTTGGGACAAATTTATGTTTTCAAAGCAAGCATTACAGCAGAACTGCCCTATGTGGTAAGAGACCCTTAATGAGGGAGACAATATCCTGTGGCACAGAGTCACAGCTGCCAGTGCCCCATGGGAGGTGCTGCCTTCAAGTACCCTGGGGATTCAGAAGAAGGGACGCCATGGCCCCTGGGGTCGAGGCAGGCTCTGCTGAGGGGTCGGCACTGGAGCTTGTTTTTTAGGACCATCCTGATGTCCCCACAGGGCACACAGGGCTGGAACGAGAGAGTTGCCTGTCCACACCACTGTTTTTCCAACACATTTTGTCCTTAGTCAGTTTGTACCCATTTACCCAGAGGGACCCCTTTGTTAGGATGGTGCTGGGGTTGGAGGGCCCCCCTCTGATAGTCTGTACAGAGAGCTTGGCTCTCATCTCTAGGAGAACCTGTCTTTCTCTCTTCAGGAGGCCTAGAGAATGTGGGAAGGGGTCACAGAGCACGCGGGAGCCTGTATGCTGGGTTTAGAACCAGCCAAGCTCTTGGGGAGGGTGGCCTGGAATGCCAGATGCAAGGCTCTGTCATTCTGGACTAAGGTGCTCTTATGGCTTTTGAAGACATCATGAAAAGTGGAGACAGTGTTTCTCCTTCTGTTGTCCAAATGGACTGACAGGGATGGAGTGACTGAGGGTGTATCTACACCAGCCACCTGAGAATTCACGGGAGAACCGTGGCTGTGATGGTCTGTGCAATGTCTGTGGATGGTGTAACCAGTGGAGGAGTCTAACTCTTTGAGAGTGTTGAGGTTCTGATCTGTCTCGGTGCTCCCAATATACTTGACTGGCATTTTTTTAGCCACCATTGTTGACATGGATGTGCAGACCCGCTGGGGCCTGTAAATTCAGAGTGCAGACAAGATCTGGTGGCACTGCCCCAGCCTTGAAGATCAAGCACCAGTTCAGTGAAAATCTGGCCTTCTCGGACAATTAATAGCGTGAACAAATTAGCATGCCGCTGTAGAGTCTCAGACATGCTTCTACCTGCATATCTCATTTCTTTCATTCCTTTATGCCATATTTTCTGGGTCTGTTGCTGTGCTGGGAGCTGGGGGCTAACCCCTGCCTTGGAAAACTTCCCACCTATAAGGGAACAAATACACAAAGGTATTGTCCTAGTGTGGGCTGGGCAGCACTTTGACCAACCCTTCTCTCTGTTTCTGTGGATTCCTCTGAGGAAGGACTCAACTCCATTCAGGATTTGTTACTTAGGAAAGGGTGTTCAAGAAATATGGACTCTACTAAGGGGTTGGTAAGCGTTACTGGGTGTTTCATCTGCATTGAATGCCATGCAGGTTCTGTGACTCTGAATCCTTCCAACGGCCATTTTGCAGATGACAGTTCGAGGGGAGGAGTCAGGCCGACAACCCAGATTTTCTGACTCCTAGTTGGGTGCTCCTCTCAGGGCACTACCTTTTCCCTGGTCGTGGTACTCCTTAGAGCCGGGACTGTGATCCAGACAGAGCCATCTCCTCCACTGTTCCCATGGAAACAGTAACACTGTCCCCTGGCTGGGGCCAACCAGCAACTACCAGACCAAGGCATGTGCTGATAACAGTAACATGTTTTTCACACAAGGATGCCAGGCGGGGGTATCACTAATGCACTGGCTGACTGCTGCGTCCCAGACATGCACACTGTTTCTTGTCGATGGTGGAACAAAGAAGACTCCTGAGTGATTCATTTTGCCTCAACACACAAGTGGGAAGCGAAGTTTACACCGTGGACCCATTTTGGCTCTTGAACTGGAGATGGATGGCTTTAGCACGCTGGTGCCCATTAAAGTATCTGGGCGTGATTCAGCTTCGGTGAAAAGTTTACCTCTCCATGTGTGAGGCATCTTCCGTGGGGTTTCATAACCTCAGGCCTGGGCTGCAAATCTCCGGCCTCAGTGTTGGGGGCCTGGGAGAAGGCGAGAGGCTGCCAGGCTGATCCAGGAAGACCAACCAGGCTTAGGGGATCTGGCAGCAAAGTGCATGTGCTGGGGGGAGGAGACCGGACAAGCACTGAGGCTTGTGGCTAACCTGGGGGGGACAAGGTGGCAGGGAAGAGGCCTTGTAGCCACAGGGTGTGGGACTGGGAGTAATGAGCGTGTGTCTGCTTGTGTGCAGGTGGGGACAGGTGTGCAGGGCCGTTCAGGGCTTCTCAGGGTGAGGGAAGGAGATGTGACCCTCCAGAAATTCTGAACAAGCTTTGAGGGAATGCCTGTGTTTTTGGGGAAGCATCGTAGCTTCCTGAGAATCTCAGATGATTATACTGATGTATAATGATTAATATTAGACAATTTTTACATGTATATGTTGCGGTATACACTTGAAAGTGCATTGCCAGCCTGGGCAACATAGTAAGACCTCTTCTCTACAAAAAAATTTAAAAATTAGCCAGGCATGGTGGCTTGTGCCTGCAGTCTTGGGAGGCTGAGGTGAGAGGATCACTTGAGCCCAGGAGGTCAAGTGAGCCATGATCGTGCCACAATACTGGGAAACAGAATGAGACCCTGTATCCTAAAAAAAAAAAGTGTATTATGTGTATTTATTCTTTAATCCTTGCAGCATTCCCACAGGAGATATCATTATTAGCCCTACATCATCGAGGGGGAAACTGAGGCCCAGTGTCAGACCCCGGGGTTGCACAGCAAGGGGCAGAGGCAGGCTTTGAATGGAGGAAGCCGTGCCCAGCGCTGGCTCATGAAGCCCCTGGGCTGTTCTACCTTGTAATCTATCATGGCGAGAATCTGGGTTGTGGTAAACCATCTGGAGCGGCACCCTGGTGTGTATCAGAACCTCCTGTGAAAGCTGTGTGGCTGTTGTAAGCATGGTAGGTGTCTGTCCAGCCCTTGCAGCATGTGGTGCCATGTCAGGCGCCTGTGAGCTGCTCATACTAGTAGGAAGTGGTGGGTGTTGCTTGCACTATAACCATTATCACCATTTTACTGGTGGGGAAACTGGCATTCAGAGAGGGGTAAAACTTGCCCATGTCACACAGCTTGTAGGTGGCAGAGCCAGGGTTCCAACCTAGCCACCTGACTCCATCTGTACCCTACTCTTCTGGGCTCTGGCTCTGGGAGGGTGGCAGCCCTGGGTGATGGGCGCTGACCCAGACATACCAGGGCCTGTTTCATAGCACATTGACCAAAGCCCCTCAGGGACAGAGCGGAAATGCAGGCTCAGGGCCTGACTGTGAGGCTGAGACTCAGGGTCTCGGGTAGGAACTTTCCATAACCGCTGCCCTCCTTCTTGGGTCAGGATTGGCCTCTGCCTCCGTGTGTGGGTGGGGGGGCAGGTGGTGCCCACAGGAGTGGGTCTTTGCTCTGCAGCCAGGAGGTGGACTCTGGACTCAGAGGTCCTAATGCCAGGCGTGAACCGGACTGCAGGGCCAGCAAGCGCCCTGACCTCGGGCCTCCAGGGCTTCATTTCGTTTTGTTTGGGGATAGAGGTGTTTCTTCTTGGAGTAGCTGGAGTTTCACTCTGTCGCCCAGGCTAGAATGCAGTGGCACACTCATGGCCATCCCAGCGTCGACCTGCTGGGCTCCAGCGATCCTTCTACCTCAGCCTTCCAAATGGCCCTTTTCCCCTTTCTTGATGGATGAGGCAGAGGCTGGAATGGTGGTAGAACATGGCTGTTTACCATCTGCCCGCCTGGTGGCTTAGGGCAAGTCACCTTCCTAGCTGAGCAGGGAGCAGCTTGTTATTTCTGTGTCTTATCCATCGAGGGCCACCTGCTGTCCTCCTTGCACTCCTGTGACAAGCCCCTTTGTTCCCAGGGTTGCTATTTTTGGCATTTCAGATCTCAGCCTGGTTAGATTGGAATGGTGACACTGGGGGACACTGAGGAGCGGGAAACGCCAGCCCACCCAGTACCCTCATGGACAAGCACAGAGACTCCCTGGCCCTTGGTCTTCTGCTCTTCCTGTGACTTTCCTGGCTGTTTCCAAATCATCCTGGCGCTGGAGGTCTGGCTTCCTGTCTCCAGAGCCACAAGGCCTACTGTCAGGCTCAAGCTTCCTAACAGACGGAAGGAAGAACTTAATCCTGGGACAGGTCCTATTCGTTTGGGAGCCCAGAACAGCAGCAGCAGCAGCAACAAGCTCGCACTCATCTTTTTAAAGACGCTTTTTGAAAAATGTCAAGCAAGTCTAAATCTTAAGTTCAAAGTAGCAAGATGTCACAGATTTCTCTGCTGGACCAGATTTTCAAGTGGCAAAAACCACAGGGAAGTGGCAAACCAGAATGGCACCTTGATTTCGGTGGGGTCATCCGTTCCAACCAGAGCGTGGCCCTTGTCTGCACAGCCTGGTCACCCTCAACGCCCCTGCTGAGATGGGGCAGAAGCGGTTCCCCTGCCAGCGAGGAGGACTGAGGGCAGAAGGAGTCAAGACCCATCCAAGTGCAACAGTGATGAGCAGAATCAGGAGCAGGAAGCGGGTCTCCCGACTTGCTAGATGAGTTTGGGGGCTAGTGAAGGAGGATCTTCTTCTCCAAAACATTTGAGTGAGCTGCCCTTGATTCTTTATTTGTTTTTTTGTTTTTTGTTTTTTGTTTTTTGAGTTGGAGTTTCACTCCGTTGCCTAGGCTGGAGTATAGTGGCAGCTCATGGCCACCATAGCGTCGACCTGCTGGGCTCCAGCGATCCTTCTGCCTCAGCCTTCCAAGTAGCCGGAATGACAGGAGCATACTACCATGCCCAGCTAATTTTTGATTTATTGTAGAGACGAGGTCTCACCAAGTTGCCCCGGCTAGTCTTGAACCCACGGGCTCAGGCATTCCACTCGCCTCGGCCTCCCAATGTGCTGGGATTCCAGGCTGAGCCGCTGAGCCCAGCTTGGTTCTTTATTTGTAAGAGGGAATAGACCCATCCAAACTGGGGGTAACCTGGCAGGCAGAAAGCCCAGCAACTCCCCCTCCTAGCTGTGGGGGCACCGATGGGCATCACTCATGTGTGTGACCGTCTGGTGGCCCTGGTGCCCTCCAGTCTCCTGCCTGCTTCTGGAGAGATCTGTGCTCTTTGGCTTTGAGGTGTCTTCAGAGTCACAGGGGGCTGAGAGCATATCAGTCAGTCATGCATTAGTCTGCAGGAAATTGAAAGCCCCGTTTAAAAAATGAAAAGAATTTATTTTCCTTACATGGCAAGAAGGCCTGCAGCAGTTGCTTGCTGATAGTAATTTAGTGGTTTGGCAGCACTGGGGCTGGCATCTCTGTGATTTTCAAAAAATTTTTCCTCATGGTTGCAAGATGGTTGCTGCAAACTCCAGGAATCACATCCACTTTCAAGGCTAGAAGAGAAGTGAGAGAAGAATTGCACCCTGGACACGTGCCTCTTTATCAAGAAAATAACAACCTTCCCAGAGTCTCCTAGCAGGCCTCCACGTATGCCCACAAGCCAGGACATTGTCACATGGCCATACCTACTATAAAGCGGGCAAGGAATGTACTTAACGTTTTTCATCTCTCTGGAAGAGGAGGGTTGGGACTAGATCCAGCATTGTCTGCCACAGGGGGCTTGTAGGAAGCCACAACATTTATCATCTGGTAAAAATTCACTCATTTGCTCAATACCTGCAACACACCCATTACCCGGGTGGGAAAACTGAGGCAAAGGGTTAAGATGGGCCTGCTGGTGGGACGGGAGAGGAAATAGCATTAACACCAACACCAGAGGGATTTCATCCGTTTTCCTTCTGCGTCCCGATTGTAGCATTGACTCTCGGCAGTGTTAGAAGGAGGGTGGGGGAAGCCATTCTCTGGTCCCCAAACAGGAGGGGGGTCTCTCGAGAGGTGGGCTGGGGTCCTGTCTGGTGGGGGCGGAGTAGCCTGCCCCTCTCTCTGTGTCTCCCTCTTGCTGCTCAACCCTCTCTTCACCTTCTCTTCTCCCCCCTGCAGAGACCCCTCTCGGGCCTCTTCTCTCCTGTCCTGGCAGGAGCGCCTGTTGTTGTTGGTCTTGGTCCCTCACTGTGGTCCTTGCCCCACCTCCCAGCCCCCTGGACTGCACTGACCTGGCCTGTCCTGTTCCAGATCCCGCGAATCCACTGGGACCTGTCCACCAAGCGGGTCCTCCTGATGGAATTTGTGGATGGCGGGCAGGTCAATGACAGAGACTACATGGAGAGGAACAAGATAGATGTCGATGAGGTGAGCTCAAGGGCCTGGGCTGCGGCGGGAGGGTCGGGCTGGTCGGAGCCGCCGGGTTGGGGGGGCGGCCCGCTGTCTGAGGAGAGATCAGCTCTCTGAGCAGGAGGCTCTTCCAGGTCGCCCAAGCCAGCCCTCTGCATGCAGCAGGGCGCCGGGCGTGAGGGTCCCTCCCCGCCTCTCCTGCCTGGACTAGCCCTTCCCCCTTCCCTCATGGAGCACCCGAGTCCTGCCCGGCTGGGGCCACACAGACTCAGTCCTTCTGCCCCTGTGGGCCTGTCCACTGTCTCCTCCCTCCCCCACCCTCCCCTCCTGCCCGGATCAGGTGACAAGAGCACAGCAGCAGCCGGCTGCCCCAGCTTCACGGAGCAGGGCCGAAGGGGGCGGGCTGGGTCTCCCACGGTGCATCCCCTTGGTCTTGGGACACTGGCTGGGGGCGGGGCTCGGTCCCCACTTTCTGCTTCTGGGCTGCCACAGGGACCCACAGGAAGGGGTGGAGCTGTGCCTTTTCAACAACATTCAGCATCAGTTTGTTTTTTTTTTTTCAGAGAGGAGGTCCTGCTTTGCCACCCAGGCTGGAGTGCAGCGGTGTGGTCATAACTCACTGCAGCCTCAAACTCCTGGGTTCCAACAATCCTCCCACCTCAGCCTCCCAAGTAGCTGGGGCTGTAGGCACACACAGCACAACCAGTTAATTTTTAACTTTTTTGGGGTTGAGATGGGGTCTTGCTGTGTTGCCCAGGCTGGACTCCTGGGTTTGAGCTATCCTTCCACCTCAGCCTCCTGAGTAGCTGGGACTACAGGTGCGTACCGCCAGACCTGGATAATTAAAACATCTTTTTAGGGACTGTGTCTCACTGTGTTGCCCAGGCTGGTCTTGAACTCCAGGTGTCGCCCTGCCTTGGCGTCCCAAAGTGCTGGAATTGCAGGCATGAGCCACTGCACCCAGCCCAACATTCGTCATTTTACAGTCCCTGCTGTATGCTGGGTGGGGAATTTTATGACAGGACAGACCCAACCCCAGGCCTAGCGTGGGAGTCAGACACACGTCTCACTCGCTGGAGCAGTCTTGGGCAGCAAGAGGGGCGTGAGCAAGACCCCAGGGGCCTGAGAGGAAGAGGCGCTCAGCTCAGCCTTCTGCTTCCCCCGCCACGGGATGAGTAGGGGTCTGCCAGGAAGGGGCTTTGCCGGGAGGGCAGGGCGGCCAGGTCCCCGGGGTGTGTGGGAAGATTTGGCGAAGGGATGGATGGTGAAGTCTGGGGCCCCGGGAGGCCCTGAGCAGGCGCTGCCACCTCTCGGGGAGCACGGCGGCCTGATCGCCATTCTGGCTGGGCGGGAGGAAGCCCTGGAGGGGCCAGACCCAGCCTGGGCGCAAGTCCCTTCCGACTTGGCTGCCTCCAGCCCTCCAGGCAACCCGTGAAGACGAGCATGAGGTCCCGGTGGTGAGGGGGCCCAGGGGAGAAGGCCGCACCTTGGCTCGGCAGATGAGCCAGGCGAGCTGGCCTCCCGGTGGCTTGGTGGCCTCCAGAAACAGGATGAGGACGGTGGTACTGCCCCAAGGGGCCGTGGGGCACACGCACGCTTCGCCCGGGGCCTGGCGCGGGCCCCACTCTCCAGGATGGCCGTGAGGTGGCTAGGGTGGCTTCCTTATTGTGGTCTTTGGGCCGTGTCTTTCCCTCCTCTGTCTCCTCTGACCTTGGCACATCTTAGATGGCTGACTTGTCATGTTAGGCTCTTTTCTCCACAGTAAATGCTAGGCTCTGGGGACTGGGTCTGGTTCCCTCATGAATCCCTCACCCAGGATATAGCAGGGACTGTACCATGATGACTGTTGGACTAGGTGCAATGGCTCAAGCCTATAATCCCAGTCTCCTTTTTGCAGATGGAGTCAGAGTCAGAGACTCAGAGAGGGCGGGTAACTTTTGCCTCAGGCCACACAGCGAGTGGAGCTGGGATTGAAATCCAGGCCTCCCTGACTCCACCATTCCTCTCAGGTTTGCATCCAAGCCTGCAGCTGCCGCCAGGACCACGGCTGGGAAGGGCATGTGGTGGCTGGCTGTGGCCTTTGGGAGAGCCATTGCGCCCTGACTTGGGGAACAGCGCCTCAAGAACCCATTTGGGGACCGCGGGGTGTGGGGGCTATGGGAAGGCTGCGCAGACACAGGGACTGCCTCGTTTCACCCAGGGCGGCTCTGTCATCGCTGGAGCGGCCTGTCGGGCTTTTCTGGAAGAGCTCTGCTGCTGTGAGAAAAAGCAGAATCTGACTCTCCACTTTGCAGATGAGAAAGCTCAGAGACAGCAAGCGTCTTTCCCGAGGTCACGCTGCTGTTGACAGCCAGGGCTTCTGACGCTGCTCCCTCACTGTTGGCTTCTGGGGTGGGTGCAGGGAGGGTGATCAGGCGGATAGTCTTTGGCTCCAGAGGGGAGGGCGTAGGGTGGGAAGGAAGTCCCCCCCTGGCTTTTCCTGAGTAGCCCTGCAGTGGGGCAGGTGTGTCTGCTGCTGGGGAGGGCTTCCAGGGCCTCACCCCGGCTACTGGCATTCCCTCCCCACCAGCTGTGGTGGGTTTTCATTCCCAGGAGCCCAGAGCTGTAAGGACGGCTATTCAGGGGCAACTGGGATTTTCCCAAATGTAGACACAGGAAGACGCTCCTGGCAAGGCTGCTTGTTCGTAGCTAAGCGAGGGGCCTGGGTAGAGGGACGACTGGGCCGGGGTGGGCAGCAGGAGCTGGGCAGCATGTGCCCTCCGAGGCTTGGGCTCATCTGCTCCAACCTCCACCCCTTTCCATACCTTGCAGATGAGGCCAGCAGTCTTTGCAGAGCAGACCCTCAGTAGACATCCTGAAATCACTGCACAGTAAAGAGCCAGCCGCATGCCCCGGTTACAGGGCTGGGAGAGTGTGAGTTGTTTTCTGTGGACATGCAGAATGATGTCAGAGTTATTTGGGAAAAACAATAACAATACTAATTTATAAGCAACTAATATGTCCCTGGCATGCGGCACACCTGATCTCTGCTCCTTGTCATCTCTGTCCTGAGACGTATATGTCATTCACCTCACACACAGTGAGAAAGAGAACACTCAGAGAAGTTAAGCAACTTGCCTGATGGCACACAGCCAGCAGGGGCAGAACTAGGGTTTGAACCCAGGTCTGCATGACCCCCATGTCCCTGCCCCTCTGCCTTCTCCATCTGCCTCCCAGGGGGCCCACCTTGGGCTGCTGGGACCTGGCGCCATCTGTCAGATATGGGCACAGCAGTGATGATGCAGAGGAGTCGGGGTACCCACCAGGAAGCTCTGCCCAGTACCCAAGGCACTGTCTGAACACAGTGCTTCTCTCTCTGGCTTACTCTAAGGGTCGTGTTACTGGTTTTATGGAAATATTTTCTCATCTTGTCGTACCTAACTCTTTGCGACATCGTGAGCTTTGTGAGTTAACCGCAGAGACAGTGCTCAGCACAGCGCCTGGTGTGTGGTGAGTGCCCCAGTGATGGCGAGATGATTGTTTTGGTTTTGAGTCGGGTCTCACTCTGTTTCCCGGGCTGGAGTGCAGTGGTGCAATTACAGCTCACTACAGCCTCCACGTGGGTGATCCTTCTACCTCAGCCTTCTGAGTAGCTGGGGCTAGAGGCATGTGTCACCACGCCCAGCAAATTTTTTTATTTTGTGAGACACAGTCTCGCTATGTTGCCTGGGCTGGTCTCAAACTCCTGGGCTCAAGCAGTCCTCCTCTTTGGCCTTCCAAAATGCTGGGATTACAGGTATGAGTCATGGTGCCGAGCTAATTTTTTATTTTGTAGAGACAAGGTCTCACTGTGTTGCCCAGGCTGGCCTCACACAGTCCTTCCTCCTTGACCTTCCAAAGTACTGGGGTTACAGGCGTGAGCCACTGCGCCTGGCTAAGAATCTGCATTTTGGCAAGCTCTCCAGGTGGTTCAGACACTCATTGAAGTTCAAGACCCCCTTCCTCACTCCACTGAGCCAGGAGACCCCACAACCCAGCCGAGCTGTCAGTGCTGTCCCTACCGACTGCTTCTCTGGGCATGGGCCGGCCCTACCCTGGCGTGCTCACCTGCCGGGAGCCTGGGCCCTGGGAGCTGGCAGCCTGCAGGGCCTTCGTTGGCTTGTCCCTGAGCCCAGAAGCAGATGTTACCGAGGGCCTGACCTGGTGGTCACATTTGCCATCACTGTGAGAGCTGGCGACGATGACTGTCATTGATCTCATTAAAAGGAAAGGTCGAGCAGGGGCCTCGTTCCCGGGCTGGACAGGGCCTCCTCCAGCCACAGAGCGACTAGTGATTGCCGGCCCTTTTCGAAGGTTAATTGGATTTCAGTGAGTGTGTGTTTAAGGTCCTGCCTGGGCTGGGGCTTGATTTAATTTGTGTGAAATTAGCCAAGGGAGAGGCGACAGTTGGGAGCACAGGGGTAGCAGAGGCAGGCGGCTGGAGGTCTTGGGGGCAGACCCGGGTAGAGGCCTGGAGGGGACGCCTGCCTAGCTGTGCCAGAGGCACGGGAGCCAGCTGGGGGAAGAGGGCAGAGACTCCTCCGGGGTCCCTCTGTGGGCTTCCACTCAGTCCGCTGTCCTCAGGTGGCACTCCGGGAATGTGGTGTAGCCACCCAAGCCTGTCTGTACATCTCTCCAGGGAGTCTCCACCTTCTGTTGGGGTTGGGCATCTGGGGGCTTAGCTGGCACTCTGAGTCTTTCAACTAGTTCCTGTTTTTCAGGGCTCCCCACATCCTATTTTACCAGGGTCCTCAGTTCCTGAGCGTCCCTAGGGTCAGAGGTCATAAAGGCCCCCACCTTGCCAGCTTAGGGGTCCCTGCTTTCTAGCTACCAAATTGTTTGTTTCTCAGTCATCATCTGCTCCCCATAGCAAACACAGTTTTGCTTGTCTCATTTGCAAGTATCTCTCCTCTGTCTTGTGGCAAACACGGCCCTGCTAGCCCAGAGAAGGCAGTGGGGTGGACTTCCAGGGTAATTCCACGTGTGTTGAGCCCAGATGC